GATGTAAGATTGTATTATTCACTGTACGTTGTTCAGCAACGACAAGATTTATCCATTATCAAGTCATAATACTGAATTTCCTTTATATCCACGGCATTCTGACCTGACATACAGTCATTTGCAAACACATTCTATTTCCCCTAGTAAATTATAAATCTCTGGGGTGAGTAGCAAGATTTGGTTGATGTGTGCCTTGGGCCCAGTTAGGGGTAAGACTGGTAGGGACTTTATTCTTTTCCTCAGAGCCCCACTCAAGACCACGGTGGCATTAAAAGCAATCCTGCTTCCTGGATCCTGAATCAGGCATTCTAGCTTTCTCCCTCTCCCCACCGTATCTTCAATCCTTAATGTGCAGGTGGCTCAGGGCGGGCCAACTTCCACATTCCAGGCCTTGCTGTCCAAGCTGGATGCTTTCTACAGAAGTCTGAGTTTACTAAGGGACCGATACAGGTTACCCCTCTCTATTCACTCACTCATTCGTTCATTCATTCCACCTCGGTTGAGTCTTTACCTAAGAACTGTTCTAGTACCGTGGAAATGATAGTAAATGAGACAAAGTCTCTGATCCCATGAACATTTAAAAAATTACAAACCTGACATCAGTCAACAGATAAGTATACGATGTGCCAGGCTGGAATATGTGCGATGGGACAAAATGAAGCAGTGCCCGGGGAACAGGAGTGATGTGAGGGTGGAGTGCTATTTTAAGCCGTGGTCAGAGAAGTTCTGTCTGATAAGGCGGCATCTGAGGGACATGGAGAAAGTGAGGAAGAAGCACTGCAGGTATCAGGGGAAGGGCAAGCCAAGCAGAGGGACCTCTAAGTGAAAAGGTCCTGAGACGGGAGCTCGCTTGGCATGTTTGAAGCACAGCAAGGAGGTCAGCATGTCTGGACGGAGGGAGCATCGCGGAGACCAGTGGTCGAGGGCTGTGGCTAGAGACAGGTCACGTGAAGACTTGGTAAGGAACGATGTTTTTGTGTCAGTGGAGATGGGAAGCATGGAAGGGTTTTAGCAAAGGAGGGGCCGGAACTGAGAAGCACTGAAGGATCACTCCATCTGCCATGTCAACAAGGAACAGGCAGGTGCAGGGCACTGGGCAACCGCAGAAGCAGAGGACCCTTAGAGACTCTTGTGATTTGCCAAGTGGGTGATGTTGGCAGCTTTCAGGAAGGTGGCTGAAGTGGCGGTGGTGAGAGGAGGCTGGAGTCTGGGTATAATGTGAGGTAGAGCTGAAAGGATCTGCTGTGAGCAGAGTAGAGTAGGAGAGAGAGAGAGAGACAGAGAGACAGAGACAGAGAGAGACAGAGAGAGAGCGCGCGCAGGCCTCAGACACCTTTAGTTAGAGACGCCCATTAAACACCCAAGTGGGCATGTCAGCTAGGCAGCAAGATGACTGAGTCTGGAACTCAGGAGAGAAATCAGCAGAGACGTACATCTGACAGTTGTCCGTGTACAGATGATATTCCAAGCCACGGGACTGGGTGACACTGCCCTCAGGAGCACTCCGAGTAGAGCTAGAGAAAGGAAGAGATCCCAGGACTGGGTGAGGACTTACTTCCAGGGCGTCCCATGTGTAGCTGTGGATAAGATGAGGAGGATTCAGAAAAGAAGTGGGAGAAAGACTGGCCGGTGTGGTAGGGGTACCACCAAGAGAGAATGTTGTCCTGAAAACCAAGAGAAGACAGTGTTTCTAGGAGAGATTTACACTCCAAATCCAGTCCGTCCGCGGATTCCCTTGGCTCTACCTTCCACATATATCCAGAATGTGACCTCTTATCACCACCCCCAACTCTCCAATGCACTCCAAGTCACCATCAGCTCCCTCCTAGACAACCGCAGAAGTCTTTAACTGGGCTCCCTGCTTCCACCCTGGCTTCCCCAGCAGCCTATTTTCCACCCAGCAGGCAGAGTGATCCTTCCAAAAGGCAAATGGGAACGCACCGATTATCTTTGAAATGTTGCTGATGGGTCCACAGGTGAGCACTGAGTGTCAATCGTTTGATTTGACAATGGAGAGTCATTCACTGCTATCCCGGAGTAGAGCAGTTGGGACAGATGGGTGGGGATGAGAGCTCATTTTAGGGGAGTCAAAATGTAAAGGATGGGTCAAAAGACATTTGTGAAGGTGTTCAACCTCATCAGCATTCCGAGAAACGCAGACTGTACAGCCACCAAGAGACATCATACCCACCCACAAGATTGGCTATATAAGACTGAAAATTCCACGTACTCCTGTGGAACAGTGGAACGCTCATCAACTTTTTAGAAATGTAAACCGGCACGCCACTTGGAAATAGTACTTTTATTTTCTGGCTAAATTGAAGTCTCAAGTACCCTATAACTTAGCTATTGCACTCTTAGGCAAATACCTGAGAAACTTCTGCTTATTTGCCTCATGTTCCTGGACAATAAGGGTCACAGGAGCTCTCTTCATAGTATTCCAAAAGAAAAGCACCCTGTGTTCACAGATCCTACGACGGATGTTAAATTGTGACAGGTCCATGCAGAGAAACACAAGCGTAGTGCAACGAAAAGGAATGAGCTATAGTGACCCAAAAACTTGAATGCAATGTGGAACAAAAGAGGCTATACACAAACAGTGCATTCACGTGGATTCTCGTGAAGTTAAGAGGTAAAACGGGAAGCACCTCCAAAATGTCAAAATAAGATCCGCCCCCCCCCCCCCCCCCCCAGAAATCCTCTCCACCACAAAAGTGGTTACAGCACTGGCAAGAATAGGCAAAATCAACTTCTGTAGAGGTACGGAAATTAACCAAAGTGACAGTGTCACCGCGGCATTCCCGAGCAGCTCGAAGGAAGTTTAAAAAGGTGCTTAACACTCCCTCAAGGTTGATTTTCAGAGCCCTGTCGGGAAGAGACGCCAGCGTCAACCCGCCTGAACCAGATCGAGCCCCACTGCAAGGGCAGCGCCTGTGCAGGTGACCTGGAGTTGACCCGAAAATGCCCTCTGCCTTATTTTAATACTAGAATCCGTGCCCGAGGAGGAGCCTAGGCGTTATTAGCATAACATGCGACGCACGTGAGAGCATGTTTTCAGACTGCGCCTGCGCCTGCGCCTGCGCCAGCTAATACCGTCTCTGCGTCTCCACTGTGACGAGAGAACTTCCCTTTTAAATATTCATTCCCCGTCCGAAATAAAAGGACACCTGCTTCCCTTTGTTCCGGGAGAGCCCTGACTTTGGAAATGATTCGGCATGGTCTCCTATTTGTTGCAAATATATTCCACTTTGTGTGACAACCATTTCTGGTGGAGAGTCTGATTTTAACTCACTGGAAGCGAACCCACTTTGGTTCGGCAACAACAGCCATCTGAAGTTTGTTCATTCAAAAACAAAAACAAAAACAATAAAACGGCTGAATCTTGGTAAGGGCAGCGAGCTACGTGAAGCTTTAATTGCCCTGTTCCCACACCCCTCTCCTCAGGTCCCCACTAGCCTTAAAAGACCGCATCATCTCAACTACAGTAGTGTGTGAAAACACGCAGCCTAGCACCCAGTGGAGCGGGCAGAACAGTCCGGAGCTCCCTCAGAAGCCCTATCCCCTTAGAATTGTCACTAATTTACACATCTGCCAGTTCCCTGGCAAATCCCACTCGTCGGACTTGTCCTGCTATAAAAACACTTAGAAGAAAACCTAAGGCAAAATTCTCACGGCACTGGATTTGGCAGAGATTTCTCGGATATGACACCAAAGGCAGAGGCGACAAAAGAAAAAAATAGACAAAATGGACTTCATGAAAATGTAAACATGTTGTGCATCAAAAAACACTATTAACAGAGTAAAAAGGCAACCCGCAGAATGGGAGAAAATATTTGTAAATGATATACCTGATCAGGGACTAGTATCCAGAATACATAGAGAACTCCTAAAACTCAAGAACAAAAACCAAACAACCTGGTTCCAAAAAGGGCAAAGGCCTCAAATAGACCTTTCTCCAAAGAAGACACTCAAATGGCCTATAAGCACATGAAAAGACGCTCAACGCCACTAATCGTTAGGGAAGTGCAGATCAAATCTACAACGAGGTACCACCTCACACCCATTGGGACGGCTACCATCAAAACACCAGACAACAACAAGTGTTGGAGAGAATGTGGAGAAAAGTAGAACCCTTGCCCACCGTTGGTGGGAAGGTACAATGGTACAGCCGCCGTGGAATACAGCATGGCGGTTCCTCGAGAAATCAAAAATAGAATTACCATTTGGTCCAGCAATCCCACTTCTGGGTATAGACCCCAAAGAACTGAAAGAGGGTCTTGAAGAGATATTTGTACATCCGCGTTCACAGCAGCAATGTTCACAATAGCTGAAACACGGAAGCAACCTAAGTGTCCATCCACAGACAAATGGATAAGCAAAATGCGGTTGGATACCCACAGTGGAATACCACTCTGCCTTGAAGAGGGAGGAACTTCTGCAATGTGCTACAACATGGATGAGCCTTGAAGCCATTATGCTACGTGAAATGAGCCAGCCACAAAACGACAAATACTGTATGGTCCCACTTGTACAAGGTACTCAGGGTGGTCAAAAGCACAGACACAGAAAACAGAATGGTGGTTGCTGGGGCCGAGGGAAGGAGGCAATGGGGAGTTATAGTTCAACGAGTATAGAGTTTCAGTTTTACCAGATGAAGAGAGTTCTGGAGATCGATAGTGGTGATGGTAGCACAACATTATGAATGTATTTAATACCACTGATTGGTACACTTAAAAATGGTTAAGATGGGGGGCCGGCCCCCCGGCCGAGTGGTTAAGTTCGCGCGCTCCGCTCTAGGTGGCCCAGTTGTTTCGTCGGTTCGAATCCTGGGCGCGGACACCGCACCGCTCATCGAGCCGTGCTCAGGCGGCTCCCACATGCCACAGCCGGAAGCACCCACAACTAAGAATATACAACTGTGTACAGGGGGGCTTTGGGGAGAAAAAGGAAAAAATAAAATCTTTTAAAAAAATGGTTAAGATGGTAAATTTTATGTTATGTGTGTTTCAACACAATAAGAAAAGAATCAGCAGGAAAAAATGAAATACTTCTCCACCCTAAGAGACACAGGAAGGCGAAAAGACAGCCCACAGAATGAGAGCAAATGTTTGCAAATCATATATCTGAGAGGGACTAGTACCCAGAAAATATAAGGAACTCTTACAACTCAACCAGAAAAAGACACCCAGTTTTAAGAGGGCAAAGGATGTGAACAGACGTTTCTCCAAAGAAGATATAAATGACCAAGACAAATATGAAAACATGTACTACGTCATCAACTATTAGGGAAGTGCAAATCGAAACTACAGTGAGACACCACTTCGCACCCACTAGGGTGGCTGTAATCAAACAGACAGACAACAACAAGCGTCAGTGATGATGTGGAGAGACTGGAATCCTCATCTGTTGCTGGCAGGCATGGAACACTGTGTAGCTGCTCTGGGAGACAGCTGGGCGGTTCCTCAGGCTGAACACACAGTTAGCATACGGCCAAGCAATTCCACTCCTAAGGATCCACCCAAGAGAGATGAAAACATATGTCCACACTCCACTGTCCACAGCAGTATGTTTGATAATAGCCCCAAAGTGGAAACAACCAACCTGTTCCTCCCCTGAGCAATCAAAAATTAAAATGTCGTATATCCTTACAAAAAGAATATCAGTGAGCCAAAAGGAAATGAAGTACTGATACATGCTACGACATGGCTAACCCTTAAAAACATCATGGTAGGTGAAATAAGCCAGTCACAGAGGACGACGACATGTAGGATTTCATTGCTATGAAATGTCCAGAACAGACACAATCATTGAGATAGAAAGTAGAGTCGCAGTGGCCAGGCCCTGCGGGGAGCGGAGAATGGGGAGTGACTGCTAATGGATCCAGGAGTTTTGTTTTGGGGTGAGGAAAACGTTCTGAAACTGACTGTGGGGATGGCTGCATAACTTTCTGAACATACTACGAACCACTGAACTGTACACTTTAAAGGGTGAATATTATGGTATGTGAATTCTATCTCAATAAAGGTGTTATTAAAAGACAAGTGATATGAAATCACGTGATTCTGGGATGTACATTTAGGAAACAAAACAATAAAGAAAAGTGAGAATGTAGTTACCAGAGAAGACAGGATCAGGATGATCTCTGAAGCACAAGGATTTCTGACCGGCAGTGGCACATGGGTGACTTCGATGGAGCTAAAACTGTTGATTACTTCATCAGGGTTGTACTTATGCAGCTGTTTCTCTCTCCCTCTCTCTTGCTCTCAGTGAAATATACATATCACAAAATTAACCATCTTAGCCATTTTCAAGTGTGCAGTTCAGTGGCATTCAGTACATTCACACAGGTGTGCAATCATCATCACCATCCATTTCCAGAACCTTTGCGTCACCCCAAACCGAAACTCTGTACCCACAAAACAACAAGCTCCCATTGTTCTTTTTCCCAGGCCCTGGTGACCTCTATTCCACTTTCTGTCTCTATGAACTTGACTATTCGAGGAACCTCATCTAAATGAAATCATAAAATATTTGTCCTTCTGTGTCTGGCTTAGCTGCTCTCTTGTTAATAATTTACTGAAAAATACATCCAGGTTTTAGGCACATTTTGTGATTGTACTATGATTCAAAATAAAAAATATCAGAAAAGAATCAAGTAGCGATGCAAATTAAAACAGAATATATATACACTCTTTCAAAGAGTTTCATTGTGAAACGGAGAGGAGAAATTGGACGGTGACTGGACAGTGATGTGGGCTGAGTGGGATGGTTTTACAATGGTGAGACATTACAGCGTATAACAAGATCCGATCCAATGGACAGACAGATGTTTAAGAAGTAAGAGAGAGAAGAGACAATTAGAAAAGCGAAGTCCATGGGAAATTGAAAGGGAAGGAGACGCCACGCACAAGTAGAAGGACTGGCCTTGACTTGGAGGAGCGTGGACAATTTATCCGCTATAGCAGGAGGAAAATTTAGATACAGGTGAACTCATTTGGTGTCTGCATGTGGTAGGACTCTTTTGGTGGCTTCTATCTTTCTCAGTGAAATGAGGCAAGAAGAAATTAGGAGAGTGAACTGACCAGCGAAATGTAGGAAGAGGTACATTTTGAGATCATGAACGTGCCACTAGTCAGCACAAGTTTTGCGGGTTTTCCTGAAGACACCTTCAGCCGTTCAGGGTGGGCATGAAGCAACCACAAACAAATAGCAGGCAACAGATGAGACATCAGAGCTCCCAGACCTGGGAGTCACTTATTCATTCAATAAATAATGCTTGTTCATCTACTCTTGGAAAGCATTCTTCTCGACCTGGGAGTATAAGGACGAACAAACAGAAGTGGTCACTGAACACACGGAGGTCATAGTCTAACACTTTCAGGATACCTAGTTTTCAACAGGCATGATGTTAGGATACCAGTATGACAGGCCCATCCCAAGGAAAGTGTGGGCCTGGAGATACCAACCAATGTGCCCATGATAATCACGCATAAGAGGAGGCTGCTCTGTTGGCATCTCCCATACACGCTTCCGCACAGCGCTGTAAACAGAACGCGAGAAACTGAATTTCGATGATGTTAAAAAGTAGGAGTATTGTCCCTTTCCCCGTGGGTCATCAGCCCACTCGGGTCTCTCCTGGGGCAAGGCGCAGCCACCCCACTTGCCTCATCTAACGGACTGGCCTGCGAGATGTGCATATCACTACAATCCCTCGCTGAGGGTAAGACACCCTGAGTTGTGACGTCCATGTGTTACAGAGCAAGAGTTTTAGAAGAGGGGAGATGGGCAATGGAGTGTGCCCACCAAAGACCTCCAAGCCGCCTGGTCTGGAACATTTGGAGTTAGACGAGCAACGGACGACAGGAGGGGTGGGGGCGGGGTGTTCCGTGTGGCGCGGTTGAGGAAGGCATGCAGGTTTTGTTTCCTCTCTCAAGGTACAGTCTTGCATTTTAGAGTCTGTAGTCCTTCGTCACGATTACATCACTCCATGATGTCAAAAGGACCTTAGCCAAGCACCGCTGAAGTTGCTGCTGTGGCAGGAAGTCACAGAGAAAGGCCACTATCTGAAGGGTGACAGAGAGATCAGAAAGACTAGAAAGGACGCAGCCAGGGGCTGTAACCCTCAGAGGTAAGCAGCAGCCACCCTTTACGCAGCCAGCATAGATCCGGAGCTAATGTGTGTGACTGAGGGTCTGCGTGTCGGGGAGAGGCGCTGCTGAGGGACACAGGCCCTGCATCATCAACCAATCACTAGGGCCATGTCAGTGGCAGCCTCTGTGAGAGACTCTGCCTCCTTCTTGTCCTCTCTACAGAAAAACCAAGCGGTTATGTATGAAGCTAGCAGAGTGCTTCAGACTTGGGCTCCCCAGATGAAGGGTTTCAGGCTGGCGCTAGTGCCAGGACCTTCACGGGTCAGGCTGGGGATCATGCTGGTGTTGGCGCTGATTTTCCTACCAAGATTGTACTGTGACCTGGGAGCAGTATATTACTCTTCCTACGAAACAGTCATCCCCAAGAGTCTGACAGTCAACGGAAGGGAAGGCCCAGTGGAAAAGGCATCCTATATGCTGCTGATGCAGGGCCAGAAGCAGCTGCTTCACCTGAAGGTGAAGAGAGACTATTTTGTGGATAACTTTCCAGTCTTCAGCTACCACAATGGCATCCTGGGACAAGAGATGCCCGTCCTCGCGCATGACTGTCACTATGAAGGCTACATAGAAGGCGTCCCAGGTTCTTTTGTTTCTGTCAACACCTGTTCAGGCCTCAGGGGCGTCCTGATTAAGGAGGGAAAATCCTACGGCATTGAGCCCGTGGGCGCTTCAAAAAAGTTTGAACATGTGTTGTACACCATGGCGCGTGAAGCTCGAATCTCCTGTAGCGTCACTTCCAAAGACAGCCAAGTGGTGTCCACCAGCCAGCAACGAGGGAGCAGGAAGCCTCGCAGTGCACAGGCGCTGTCCTACTTGTGGTCACACACCAAGTACGTGGAGATGTTTGTCGTGGTCAGCAACCAGCGGTTCCAAATGTGGGGCAGTAACATCAATGAGACAGTCCAGAGAGTAATGGACGTCATTGCCCTGGCCAACGCCTTCACTAGGGGAATAAACACGGAGGTGGTGCTGGCTGGAATGGAGATTTGGACCGAGGGGGACCTCATAGAGGTCCCAGCGGACTTGCAAGTTACCCTCAGGAATTTCAATAGCTGGAGACAAGACAAGCTCTTCCATCGTGTGAAGCATGATGTTGCCCACATGATTCTTGGACATCGCCCTCAAGAGACACGGGACAGGCATTTCTCAACGGTGCCTGTTCCACTGGCTTTGCAGCAGCTGTTGAATCCTTCCATCATGAAGATGTCCTCCTGTTTGCAGCGCTCATGGTCCATGAGCTTGGGCACAACCTGGGTATTCAGCACGACCACTCGGCCTGCGTTTGTAAAGATACACACTTTTGCCTCATGCATGAAAACATCACTAAAGAAAGTGGCTTCAGCAACTGCAGCTCTGACGACTTCTACCAGTTCCTCCTTGACCACAAAGGGGCCTGCCTATTCAACAAGCCTCAGCACAAAGGCCGCGTGCGTAGGGATGCTGAGTGTGGTAATGGTGTGGTGGAGGAGGATGAGCAGTGTGACTGTGGTTCTGCCTGTGACAATCACCCCTGCTGTGACCCAGCATGTAAGCTGAAGGAGGGTGCAGAGTGTAGCGATGGACTCTGCTGTTTGAATTGCCGATTGAGAAATGTAGGATTCATGTGCCGCCCTCCTTCGGGAGAGTGCGACCTCCCAGAGTATTGTGATGGTAACTCTGAAGCATGCCCCACAGACAGCTACAAGCAAGATGGTACATCATGTGATTTAATTCACTACTGTCTTGGGGGTCGGTGTAGGAACCCTGATACTCAATGCATCGACATATATGGGTATCCTGCAAGGTCTGCCCCAGAAGACTGTTATATTTCAATGAACGGCAAAGGAAACCGGTTTGGGAATTGTGGCTGGCCTACTGCAGCTGATCCAAGATATGTTAAGTGTGTAGATGATAACATATTTTGTGGGAAACTTATTTGCACAAATATTAGACAGTTACCACCAATCAAACCTCAACATACAGTGATCCAGTTCACTCACAAAGATGACTTTTGCTGGAGCATAGACGCATATAACACTACTGATATCCCTGATGACGGAGATGTGCACACTGGCACTTATTGTGCTCCAAACAAAGTCTGTGTGAATTACTCCTGTACTGATCATACTGTGCTCAACTATGACTGTGAACCAGCAGAAATGTGTAATGGGAAAGGAGTTTGCAACAATTTAAGGCACTGCCATTGCGAGCCTGGCTATGCTCCCCCTGACTGCAAAACTCCAGGAAATGGGGGTAGTGTGGACAGTGGTCCTCCTGGTAAATCAGATGATGGCAATCCAAGTGAAGATGAAAGTAGAAGTCATAGTGTTGATCGTGATAATTTTGGCAGAGGTAACGAGAATAAAGATGAAAGGAAAAGCCTTGGTAAGATAGTGTATATATTCCCCGTATTTCTTTTAGCAATGTTTTTAGGTCTAATTATTGGTGCCAGTCTTGAGGCTGGAAAAGAGATATCGCAGCGCTCACAAGAGGCCCTAGAAGAAACTGAAGAAGTAGCTACAGAAGAAGAGGAAGTAAGCAGAAGAGAGGAAGAACCAGAGGCAGAAAATGAGTAGTGATAGGAAGAAGTCTAATATTTCAAACATCTGCTACATTGGGTAGCAAGGGCTCTCAGTGGAGCAAACGTGCAGCGGGCCTTGATGGCTGCATGGCTCTGATCAGGACTCCATATTCTGTAGAAAAGTACTAATGTGGGAGGAGGGATCTTCCTCCTCTTTATTTTAGTAATTGATTATACATACATATGTAAAATCCTTTATAAAAGAATATTTTACTAGTTTTTTCCATTCTCACATTTCATGAAACCATTTAAATTAAACTTTTCTCATGGAGCATTCTTATCACTGTCTTATTTTAGAAGGGCCAATTTTTGAGTTATATGTTTTTCAGGGAATGCCATCTTATATCTGCATTGTTTGACACACAGTATTATCTGTACCTATACACATTGCTGTCCCAGGTTTTCTCATCCCAGTCACAACTACACATTATATTAGGACAGTTGTTTATATGATTAGTTGTTGACATTTTCCCTGTGCAGTATAATGAAAACATTTTAAATTGAAAAGTAAATAATTATCTGTTTTCAGATAAGGCATCACTTTAGGCTTTAGGTCACCTATTAATTGGGTCTCTTTTGGTTCTGGGGTTCTCTGGAAGAGGCTACATCTAATCCAGGGTGGTCAGATCACCCTAGGTCTGGGTGCATGAAGGATGGGGAGCAACCTAGGCAAGAGGCAACCCTGTCCAGTGCTTAGCTCAGTTGGAGGTATTTGATTTTCTTCTTTTCTGTTTTTCTACTTTTTTACTACATTTATTTCTCATTTCCTTTATTAAGTTAATATACAGAGTTCACAGACAGTCCAAAAAAACAGAGGTTTGGAGGGTAGTTAGTTATCTGTAAAGAGAGCACAAAGCACATATAATAATAAATATTACCCATTGTGTGCAAGACACTGTGCTGAACACGCTATATTCATCGTCTTACTTTAATCCTCCCATCTGCCCTATGAGACGCCAGCGTCTACATGAGGAAACGGAGGCCAAAGAGTTTTGCTCTAGAGCTAGTAAGGGGTGGAACCTGCATCCCGCCCCAGATATGACTGAATCTACATGCTCGACTGCCTCATGAACCTTTTCCTTCAGTTAAAAAAAGTCACCAGGAAGACAATCAATACGTCCTCAATTGCCCAGAACATGGCTTGTTCCTCAGAGACAAATGAAACAAAAGTCTTACAAATGGAGGCTGACCTCCGTCACGAACCTGCCACACTATGTAGTCGTGATCGATGAAACTGCCCCTTCCTCCATTACATCCTGACCTCATGGAGCAGTAGGTTTGTATCTTATTCAGCTCTGAGGGCCCAGCTCATTGTAGGTGCTCAGTAAATGCTGACGAAGTGAACGAGTTAACCAGAGCCAACCTGAAACGTAGGAGGGGAACTTCTATGGATGCTACCTGCTTGTCCCGAGGCATGGCACAAGCGAAACCTTGCTCAGGCGCAGTGTTGTTACAGGTGGAGTGTTCTGAGTCTCAGGGAAGTTCCTGAGCATGAATCCCTGACTATACATTCGCTGAGTCCCTCTTCTAACTGCCCACCCTATGTAAGCAAAAGAGGACAAACCAAAGAGGCTAAGACAGACCTGGTTTCCGCTTTCAAGAGGGTTATGTTAATTACTGTGGGTGGAACACAAACTAAACTTCAGAGCAAAATCCAAAATCAAGCCTTCAGTTATGTAACTTTCCAGGCCACAGGATTTGCTGGTAACCAAATCTCAGAATGTCCCACGCCAGAAGATCAAGATTCATGGCGAAAACACACCGTTAGTTGGCAGTCAACTGAGAGCTTTGAGAAAGAGGGTGAAAGTGGGTGACTGAAGGCCTCCAAACGTAAACTTGTCATTAGAGACTTTTGAAGAAGGTGTGGAGGATTTCTGCTGAGAAGCACTTCAGTGGAGAACAGAAGGGGCAGCCTTCCTAACTACACATGCTGATGGTGACTATAATAAAAGCTCATTGGCATCACGTAGTCTTAACAACTTACCAAATGTAAGGGAATCACGATTTAAGTGCCAGGTAAATGTGCTTAGGTAACTTAATGGCAGGTCCATGCAGAGAAACACAAGCGTAGTGCAACGAAAAGGAATGAGCTATAGTGACCCAAAAACTTGAATGCAATGTGGAACAAAAGAGGCTATACACAAACAGTGCATTCACGTGGATTCTCTGAAGTTAAGAGGTAAAACGGGAAGCACCTCCAAAATGTCAAAATAAGATCCGCCCCCCCCCCCCCCCAAATCCTCTCCACCACAAAAGTGGTTACAGCACTGGCAAGAATAGGCAAAATCAACTTCTGTAGAGGTACGGAAATTAACCAAAGTGACAGTGTCACCGCGGCATTCCCGAGCAGCTCGAAGGAAGTTTAAAAAGGTGCTTAACACTCCCTCAAGGTTGATTTTCAGAGCCCTGTCGGGAAGAGACGCCAGCGTCAACCCGCCTGAACCAGATCGAGCCCCACTGCAAGGGCAGCGCCTGTGCAGGTGACCTGGAGTTGACCCGAAAATGCCCTCTGCCTTATTTTAATACTAGAATCCGTGCCCGAGGAGGAGCCTAGGCGTTATTAGCATAACATGCGACGCACGTGAGAGCATGTTTTCAGACTGCGCCTGCGCCTGCGCCTGCGCCAGCTAATACCGGTCTCTGCGTCTCCACTGTGACGAGAGAACTTCCCTTTTAAATATTCATTCCCCGTCCGAAATAAAAGGACACCTGCTTCCCTTTGTTCCGGGAGAGCCCTGACTTTGGAAATGATTCGGCATGGTCTCCTATTTGTTGCAAATATATTCCACTTTGTGTGACAACCATTTCTGGTGGAGAGTCTGATTTTAACTCACTGGAAGCGAACCCACTTTGGTTCGGCAACAACAGCCATCTGAAGTTTGTTCATTCAAAAACAAAAACAAAAACAATAAAACGGCTGAATCTTGGTAAGGGCAGCGAGCTACGTGAAGCTTTAATTGCCCTGTTCCCACACCCCTCTCCTCAGGTCCCCACTAGCCTTAAAAGACCGCATCATCTCAACTACAGTAGTGTGTGAAAACACGTAGCCTAGCACCCAGTGGAGCGGGCAGAACAGTCCGGAGCTCCCTCAGAAGCCCTATCCCCTTAGAATTGTCACTAATTTACACATCTGCCAGTTCCCTGGCAAATCCCACTCGTCGGACTTGTCCTGCTATAAAAACACTTAGAAGAAAACCTAAGGCAAAATTCTCACGGCACTGGATTGGCAGAGATTTCTCGGATATGACACCAAAGGCAGAGGCGACAAAAGAAAAAAATAGACAAAATGGACTTCATGAAAATGTAAACATGTTGTGCATCAAAAAACACTATTAACAGAGTAAAAAGGCAACCCGCAGAATGGGAGAAAATATTTGTAAATGATATACCTGATCAGGGACTAGTATCCAGAATACATAGAGAACTCCTAAACTCAAGAACAAAAACCAAACAACCTGGTTCCAAAAAGGGCAAAGGCCTCAAATAGACCTTTCTCCAAAGAAGACACTCAAATGGCCTATAAGCACATGAAAAGACGCTCAACGCCACTAATCGTTAGGGAAGTGCAGATCAAATCTACAACGAGGTACCACCTCACACCCATTGGGACGGCTACCATCAAAACACCAGACAACAACAAGTGTTGGAGAGAATGTGGAGAAAAGTAGAACCCTTGCCCACCGTTGGTGGGAAGGTACAATGGTACAGCCGCCGTGGAATACAGCATGGCGGTTCCTCGAGAAATCAAAAATAGAATTACCATTTGGTCCAGCAATCCCACTTCTGGGTATAGACCCCAAAGAACTGAAAGAGGGTCTTGAAGAGATATTTGTACATCCGCGTTCACAGCAGCAATGTTCACAATAGCTGAAACACGGAAGCAACCTAAGTGTCCATCCACAGACAAATGGATAAGCAAAATGCGGTTGGATACCCACAGTGGAATACCACTCTGCCTTGAAGAGGGAGGAACTTCTGCAATGTGCTACAACATGGATGAGCCTTGAAGCCATTATGCTACGTGAAATGAGCCAGCCACAAAACGACAAATACTGTATGGTCCCACTTGTACAAGGTACTCAGGGTGGTCAAAAGCACAGACACAGAAAACAGAATGGTGGTTGCTGGGGCCGAGGGAAGGAGGCAATGGGGAGTTATAGTTCAACGAGTATAGAGTTTCAGTTTTACCAGATGAAGAGAGTTCTGGAGATCGATAGTGGTGATGGTAGCACAACATTATGAATGTATTTAATACCACTGATTGGTACACTTAAAAATGGTTAAGATGGGGGGCCGGCCCCCCGGCCGAGTGGTTAAGTTCGCGCGCTCCGCTCTAGGTGGCCCAGTTGTTTCGTCGGTTCGAATCCTGGGCGCGGACACCGCACCGCTCATCGAGCCGTGCTCAGGCGGCTCCCACATGCCACAGCCGGAAGCACCCACAACTAAGAATATACAACTGTGTACAGGGGGGCTTTGGGGAGAAAAAGGAAAAAATAAAATCTTTTAAAAAAATGGTTAAGATGGTAAATTTTATGTTATGTGTGTTTCAACACAATAAGAAAAGAATCAGCAGGAAAAAATGAAATACTTCTCCACCCTAAGAGACACAGGAAGGCGAAAAGACAGCCCACAGAATGAGAGCAAATGTTTGCAAATCATATATCTGAGAGGGACTAGTACCCAGAAAATATAAGGAACTCTTACAACTCAACCAGAAAAAGACACCCAGTTTTAAGAGGGCAAAGGATGTGAACAGACGTTTCTCCAAAGAAGATATAAATGACCAAGACAAATATGAAAACATGTACTACGTCATCAACTATTAGGGAAGTGCAAATCGAAACTACAGTGAGACACCACTTCGCACCCACTAGGGTGGCTGTAATCAAACAGACAGACAACAACAAGCGTCAGTGATGATGTGGAGAGACTGGAATCCTCATCTGTTGCTGGCAGGCATGGAACACTGTGTAGCTGCTCTGGGAGACAGCTGGGCGGTTCCTCAGGCTGAACACACAGTTAGCATACGGCCAAGCAATTCCACTCCTAAGGATCCACCCAAGAGAGATGAAAACATATGTCCACACTCCACTGTCCACAGCAGTATGTTTGATAATAGCCCCAAAGTGGAAACAACCAACCTGTTCCTCCCCTGAGCAATCAAAAATTAAAATGTCGTATATCCTTACAAAAAGAATATCAGTGAGCCAAAAGGAAATGAAGTACTGATACATGCTACGACATGGCTAACCCTTAAAAACATCATGGTAGGTGAAATAAGCCAGTCACAGAGGACGACGACATGTAGGATTTCATTGCTATGAAATGTCCAGAACAGACACAATCATTGAGATAGAAAGTAGAGTCGCAGTGGCCAGGCCCTGCGGGGAGCGGAGAATGGGGAGTGACTGCTAATGGATCCAGGAGTTTTGTTTTGGGGTGAGGAAAACGTTCTGAAACTGACTGTGGGGATGGCTGCATAACTTTCTGAACATACTACGAACCACTGAACTGTACACTTTAAAGGGTGAATATTATGGTATGTGAATTCTATCTCAATAAAGGTGTTATTAAAAGACAAGTGATATGAAATCACGTGATTCTGGGATGTACATTTAGGAAACAAAACAATAAAGAAAAGTGAGAATGTAGTTACCAGAGAAGACAGGATCAGGATGATCTCTGAAGCACAAGGATTTCTGACCGGCAGTGGCACATGGGTGACTTCGATGGAGCTAAAACTGTTGATTACTTCATCAGGGTTGTACTTATGCAGCTGTTTCTCTCTCCCTCTCTCTTGCTCTCAGTGAAATATACATATCACAAAATTAACCATCTTAGCCATTTTCAAGTGTGCAGTTCAGTGGCATTCAGTACATTCACACAGGTGTGCAATCATCATCACCATCCATTTCCAGAACCTTTGCGTCACCCCAAACCGAAACTCTGTACCCACAAAACAACAAGCTCCCATTGTTCTTTTTCCCAGGCCCTGGTGACCTCTATTCCACTTTCTGTCTCTATGAACTTGACTATTCGAGGAACCTCATCTAAATGAAATCATAAAATATTTGTCCTTCTGTGTCTGGCTTAGCTGCTCTCTTGTTAATAATTTACTGAAAAATACATCCAGGTTTTAGGCACATTTTGTGATTGTACTATGATTCAAAATAAAAAATATCAGAAAAGAATCAAGTAGCGATGCAAATTAAAACAGAATATATATACACTCTTTCAAAGAGTTTCATTGTGAAACGGAGAGGAGAAATTGGACGGTGACTGGACAGTGATGTGGGCTGAGTGGGATGGTTTTACAATGGTGAGACATTACAGCGTATAACAAGATCCGATCCAATGGACAGACAGATGTTTAAGAAGTAAGAGAGAGAAGAGACAATTAGAAAAGCGAAGTCCATGGGAAATTGAAAGGGAAGGAGACGCCACGCACAAGTAGAAGGACTGGCCTTGACTTGGAGGAGCGTGGACAATTTATCCGCTATAGCAGGAGGAAAATTTAGATACAGGTGAACTCATTTGGTGTCTGCATGTGGTAGGACTCTTTTGGTGGCTTCTATCTTTCTCAGTGAAATGAGGCAAGAAGAAATTAGGAGAGTGAACTGACCAGCGAAATGTAGGAAGAGGTACATTTTGAGATCATGAACGTGCCACTAGTCAGCACAAGTTTTGCGGGTTTTCCTGAAGACACCTTCAGCCGTTCAGGGTGGGCATGAAGCAACCACAAACAAATAGCAGGCAACAGATGAGACATCAGAGCTCCCAGACCTGGGAGTCACTTATTCATTCAATAAATAATGCTTGTTCATCTACTCTTGGAAAGCATTCTTCTCGACCTGGGAGTATAAGGACGAACAAACAGAAGTGGTCACTGAACACACGGAGGTCATAGTCTAACACTTTCAGGATACCTAGTTTTCAACAGGCATGATGTTAGGATACCAGTATGACAGGCCCATCCCAAGGAAAGTGTGGGCCTGGAGATACCAACCAATGTGCCCATGATAATCACGCATAAGAGGAGGCTGCTCTGTTGGCATCTCCCATACACGCTTCCGCACAGCGCTGTAAACAGAACGCGAGAAACTGAATTTCGATGATGTTAAAAAGTAGGAGTATTGTCCCTTTCCCCGTGGGTCATCAGCCCACTCGGGTCTCTCCTGGGGCAAGGCGCAGCCACCCCACTTGCCTCATCTAACGGACTGGCCTGCGAGATGTGCATATCACTACAATCCCTCGCTGAGGGTAAGACACCCTGAGTTGTGACGTCCATGTGTTACAGAGCAAGAGTTTTAGAAGAGGGGAGATGGGCAATGGAGTGTGCCCACCAAAGACCTCCAAGCCGCCTGGTCTGGAACATTTGGAGTTAGACGAGCAACGGACGACAGGAGGGGTGGGGGCGGGGTGTTCCGTGTGGCGCGGTTGAGGAAGGCATGCAGGTTTTGTTTCCTCTCTCAAGGTACAGTCTTGCATTTTAGAGTCTGTAGTCCTTCGTCACGATTACATCACTCCATGATGTCAAAAGGACCTTAGCCAAGCACCGCTGAAGTTGCTGCTGTGGCAGGAAGTCACAGAGAAAGGCCACTATCTGAAGGGTGACAGAGAGATCAGAAAGACTAGAAAGGACGCAGCCAGGGGCTGTAACCCTCAGAGGTAAGCAGCAGCCACCCTTTACGCAGCCAGCATAGATCCGGAGCTAATGTGTGTGACTGAGGGTCTGCGTGTCGGGGAGAGGCGCTGCTGAGGGACACAGGCCCTGCATCATCAACCAATCACTAGGGCCATGTCAGTGGCAGCCTCTGTGAGAGACTCTGCCTCCTTCTTGTCCTCTCTACAGAAAAACCAAGCGGTTATGTATGAAGCTAGCAGAGTGCTTCAGACTTGGGCTCCCCAGATGAAGGGTTTCAGGCTGGCGCTAGTGCCAGGACCTTCACGGGTCAGGCTGGGGATCATGCTGGTGTTGGCGCTGATTTTCCTACCAAGATTGTACTGTGACCTGGGAGCAGTATATTACTCTTCCTACGAAACAGTCATCCCCAAGAGTCTGACAGTCAACGGAAGGGAAGACCCAGTGGAAAAGGCATCCTATATGCTGCTGATGCAGGGCCAGAAGCAGCTGCTTCACCTGAAGGTGAAGAGAGACTATTTTGTGGATAACTTTCCAATCTTCAGCTACCACAATGGCATCCTGGGACAAGAGATGCCCGTCCTCGCGCATGACTGTCACTATGAAGGCTACATAGAAGGCGTCCCAGGTTCTTTTGTTTCTGTCAACACCTGTTCAGGCCTCAGGGGCGTCCTGATTAAGGAGGGAAAATCCTACGGCATTGAGCCCGTGGGCGCTTCAAAAAAGTTTGAACATGTGTTGTACACCATGGCGCGTGAAGCTCGAATCTCCTGTAGCGTCACTTCCAAAGACAGCCAAGTGGTGTCCACCAGCCAGCAACGAGGGAGCAGGAAGCCTCGCAGTGCACAGGCGCTGTCCTACTTGTGGTCACACACCAAGTACGTGGAGATGTTTGTCGTGGTCAGCAACCAGCGGTTCCAAATGTGG